AGAAGAAAACAATGTGCCAGCAAACTGCAGAGTCTGCATCATGGGGTTGATCTGGTCTACCCTGGATCTTTCAAAGAAAGCCTTGGAGAAACCCCAGGCTCAGAGTTAACAAATACAGGAGAAAACCACACCATCATCTCAACAGATTCTAAAAAAGGCACTTGAGGAAATTTAATGCACCGTTTCTGATTAAAAAAAAAAATCTCTCAGTGCCATATGTGGGAACTGCCTTACTTTGTCAGGCAGTTAGGATGCTAGAACAAACCTTCATACTTGAACCCTTCATATTAAAAACTTTTTCCCTTAAAAGCTGGGACAAGCAGCAATTTCTACCCATCTTACTCCTCCTTGTAGCAGAGTCTAGCTAATGCAGTGAAGTTTTATAAAAACTAGGAATTACAAACACTGAAAGGAAGCAACAACTGTCCCTAGAGGCAGATGATAAGATTGTGTTAGTTTTCTCGTAGAAAACTAAGTTGGCAATGCTAGAGCAATTAGGACTAATAAGAGAGTAAAGTGGCTGGATTTAAACCCAGCCTTTTAAAACCAGTAGCTCCTCTATGCCAGCATTAACCAATTAGGAGGTATAACAGAAAATTCACACTAGGAACAACTACAAAACGTTTAAGAGATATACCTAGCAATAAATGTGAATAGTTAAAATGAAGAAAACTTTAAGCCTTAACTGCTAGATGTAAGAAAAAGACCAAAAAATAAAAATAAGAATGGATAGATATGCTGTGGGTATACTCAAAATTTTAAAGACCTCACTTGTCCCTAAACTGACTTATAGCTTTCATGCAATCTTCATTCAAAAATCTCAGTAATAATTTTAAATATAACTTAGTAGATATATTCTGGAATTCATCGTGAAGACTATAAGAATAATACCAAAGAAATTTTTCTAAAAAGAACAGTAAAGGGTATAGAATTTGCCTTGTCAAATATCAAGCCTTACTGATACCATTATATAAAGATATTTGGAGAACATTAAGTAAAACCCCTTGTTTATATTATACACAAAATGAAATTCAGGATCCCTGGGTGGCTCAGCACTTTAGCGCCTGCCTTTGGCCGGGCGTGATCCTGGAGTCCCAGGATCGAGTCCCACATCAGGCTCCCTGCATGGAGCCTGCTTCTCCCTCTGCCTGTGTCTCTGCCTCTCTCTCTCTCTCTCTCTCTGTCTCTCATGAATGAATAAATAAAATCTTTAAACAAATGTTTTAAAAAATAATAAATAAAATTAAATTTTAGGTGACTCACAATTCTAAAAATCATTATAGTTGTTCAGAGAAAAGTATAGAGTAATATACATATATAAATACATATATGAAAAAATACATATATGAATATATAGATGCATACATGTATGTGCATATATAATTTTTGCATGAAAGATACAGAAGTTAGAAGCCATAAAGGAGACTTCAAGATATTACTACATTACAATGTGAGGTCTTGCCAATACTGAAAAACTCTATAAGCAAAGTCGGTAAACAAACAATAGTCTGGGAGAAAATATTTTCTGTAGATAAACCAGATGAAAGAATTATATCCAGTCTGTAGAGTTCTTACAAACGAGTAAGCAGGGCAGCCCTGGTGGCGCAGCGGTTTAGTGCCGCCTGCAGCCCAGGGCGTGATCCTGGAGACCCGGGATCGAGTCCCACATCGGGCTTTCTGTATGATGCCTGCTTCTCCCTCTGCCTGTGTCTCTGCCTCTCTCTCTCTGTCTCTATGAATAAATAAATAAAATCTTTAAAAAAAAACGAGTAAGTAATAAAATCCATTTAAAAGGGGACAAAAGGCAGGAAGAGGTAGTACATAGCAATAGAAATAAATACTCGATAAATATTTGAAATGTTCAGTCTCAGTAGTAATAAGGGAAATGCAAATTAAAACAGTGGTGATATTTGTGTCTATCAGACTGCCAACATTTAAAAAATTAATATTGTGTGGAAATGCACTCAAATGCTGGTACAAGTGTAAGTAGATATGATAGTTTAGCAGTACGGTTATAAAATGCACGTACCTTTTGGACGAGCAGCCCCACTTCTAGGAATCCCTTCTACAAAAATACCTAAAAACTTCTCTGTTGGGAATAAGCAGGTAAATACTCATCCTCCCCCACCCTTTTTAAAAGATTTTATTTATTTATTTATTTATTTATTTATTTATAGAAATATTTTATTTATTTGAGAGAGAATGCAAGAGCAGGGAGGAGGGGCAGAGGGAGAGAGAGAGAAGCAGACTCCCTCCCTACTGGGCAGGGAACCCATTGCAGGGCTCGATTCCAGAACTCTGAGGTCATGACCTGAGCTGAAGGCAGATGCTTAACCAGCTGGGCCACCCAGGTGCCCCTTACCCTTTAAAAGAACAAAGTAGTTCTTTCTGCACTGACATGGTATATGGTATATTGAAAAAGCGATTTAAGATATGTGGGTAGTATAATCCTATTTGGGTTAAATTATTTATGTGTGAAAACTAAGGTTCACACCAAGCAGTTAAGGGCAGTCACCTCTGGGAAGAGGAGCAAGAGACAGGGGACAGGGGACAGGAACACATCTTGACACATTTCTGCATTTGTTGAAATTCTGCAATGAACATCTTCAGTAATTTTAAAAAATATATATATAATGATACACTCTTAGGTTGAACATTTTTCCATTAAAATTTTGAAAACCCACAAAGGTAGGACAAAATTAAAGACCCTCCTTTCCATTACCCGATGGCAGCGTTGACCTTTTGGAATAAAGGAGGGAAAAATGAGTCCAACAGAGTTAACCCAGTAAAACATTGAGATGAACAAGATGGCATGAGGGTATCTTTGGGGAGAAAGAGGACCTGGTTCTGTTCCTCAGGTTCACTTGGGTGCATTGCCATTTGCTGTCTGACACTGGGGAATCCACTGACCTCATCTATGGTCCAGTTAGGTTTTCTGCATTCTGCAGGTAGGCCTGACCTACTGCCTTTGAAGAAAGAATACGAAGAAAGTTTCTGCCTGAATGTGAGGGGTTTTTGTTAGAATGTCCACGAATGAATGTCAGAGCCCAGCATCTCAGAGGGCCACTGGTAAATGAGGAATACTCTTTGTAGAAGCTGACCTCTGAAGTAGGTACCACGGTGAGGAGTGGAGTGGGCATAAAGTAGATAAATCATGAAAGACCATGTTGTCCAGTAGAGGAGGGGTGCGTGTGTGTGTGTGTGTGTGTGTGTGTATGTATGTCAAGTTTATTATTTATAAAACAAAAAGGAGAACATTGCAATATAGCATAATTATAGAATTCTGAAGTACTTAGGAGGAACTTGAAATAACTTGAAGCAATTAAGTTTGGGAAATATTAATTACGAGATGCTTCCAGAGGGTAGGAGAGTGTGCATATGCCTGAGCATGTGCCGGTGTTATGGGGGAGGTGGTGGTGGAATGGTGCCGGTGGTGATAGGGCATTGGGTAGCTTTGTTACTAAGTTCAAAGAGAATTTCTAAAGGGAAAATAAAATCCCTGTTTGACTCAGATATGGCTCATTTTCTGAGGCAATGTCAAGAGGCACAAGATCAAATCTAGCTTGACACCATCCAATACCGAACCCAGCAGTCTCTAGAAGCTATAGCTGAGCTGCGGCTTGGCTAATGAGAAATCTCTGTCCTCTGCCAATGCCTCAGGGGCCCATCTCTTCCTCTTTGGCAAGCAGGACACAAAGAGAGCTCAAAGCAGAGTGAGGACCTGAAAGGTCACCCAGAACATTCATTTGCAGGCTCCCCACCAGGCCTTTCCAGAAAACAGATGAGCGTGGTTTTACAGTTCAGCTAGAATGTGAGCCAGTGGCTTCGTGCTTCAAACTGGGGTAGGTTTTAATGAAACCTGAAGGATATTTCACACATCGTCCAACCATTAGCAATGAGGAATTGGGGGAGCGGTGTGCCAAACACAGCCAGGCTGTATCCTCTCATTTATTTTCTGGGTGTGAAAGGAGCAACTGTAGAATTCAGATGAAATTAGAAGTTGAGATTCAGAGCTGCCTATGTAAACACTGCAGTCTGTCATTAAGTTCACTTTCACCAGTAGGACACATTCTGTTGTTCTTGGGACGTCTGTGCGGTTCCCTGGTTGGGCCTGCAGTACCCTCCCGTAGAAGTGGGGGCCTCTCCAGTGTGTCCTTTCTAATTTGTGAAATGCTCCTTGAAATTACCCTCTTCCCACTGGGCCCACTGTGAGCACTGATGTACGCCTGGGCGGGTCATCACAGCAGCTGGAGGCTGAGCTCCAGTCTCCAGCCCTGCCTCGTCCAGTCCATCCGTCACACGGCCTGAGTCCTCTTTCCAGCCTCAAGCTCTGCTTGCCACTGGGAGCTCGGGATCCTTTTCAAGTAGCCCCCACCGCCCACCTGCCTGACTACAGCTCTTGCATTTACGCCTCTCTCTGCTCTGTCTTGTGCTCTGTGTCCGTGCTATCCAAAAGATAACCCTCCGGCTTGTTTTTGTCCCTGGATTACCTTTTTTGCTAATTACTGTTTACCTCAAGCTGTACCTACACCAAGTGTCACCTCTAGAAAGTGTCCCTAACCGCCTTTGTGTTAGGTACCGTCCCCCACACCCTGGAAGCACATTTCTGTCCCAGAACCTTCACTATATTCTAACTGACTTGTTATGGGTCTGATTCCCTGACTTGCCTGGAAGACACCTTAAATTTAGGTAAAGTAAAAATCAGTGGCTGGCCCACAGCTGGTGCTCCATGAATGTGTTATAGGGAGGAATGAGTGCGTGTATTTTTTTAAAATTGAGTTTGCACACATGTGTGTGGGTCTTTATTGTGCCTGATGTGACGTGAGTAAAGTCATACTCAACCTACTGGGTCCTCAGTAATGTGGTGAGGATGAATACAATGAACAATGTTAGTCATGTATTAAGCTGAAGCCTCTTGCCACTTATCCTGCAGTATCATCTGGTAGCTGTCTAATGGGGCTCCGGTAGTTTTCTGAATTAAAGCTCCTGTCTTGCTCCAGGTCAGCTGTTGCCAGCAAACCGCAATACACCGAGTCCCATCGATCCTGACACCATCCAGGTCCCGGTGGGTTACGAGCCAGACCCAGCAGATCTGGCCCTCTCCAGCATCCCTGGCCAGGAAATGTTTGACCCTCGCAAACGCAAGTTCTCTGAGGAAGAACTGAAGCCACAGCCCATGATTAAGAAAGCGCGCAAAGTCTTCATCCCCGATGATCTGAAGGTAAATTGGAACTGGTCATCGGGCTTTGGGCAAATGGAAGGTGGGCTCAAGAGGCAGATTAAAAGGGTGACCTCCAGGAAGATCACATAAGCAAGTGAACAAAGGACTTGTGATTTCTGATCCTATTTCTTGGCATGTGACTCTAGGCAAGTTGCTTTCTCCCTGGGTGCCTTCTGAAATATGCCTTTCATGTCTTGATATAGCACAGAAATAAGGAGAAGCTGTAAAATGTTGGAGTGATTTACAACCCATGAAGGAAACAAACCTGCTACTATCTGCAGGGAAGCCTGTGAAAGCCCAATAAAATCAAACCAAAATCTTTCAGGGTTGGAAAGAGAACGGAAATTATTTGTGAAGAACATCTGGACCACAAAGTCCTCCAAGGGTTTCTTCCCTTAGGAGATTTATTGATAAGTAATTGCTGCCTTTTCTGTATAGGCCTCAGAGAGTAACAACTGGAGACCGGGCCTCTCTCCACCTATGGATGACTTGGGTGGGATTTTCTTAAGGAAGCTTGTGGGTCCCCTGGTATAATTTATATGTACTGTGTACTCTGTCTCTTAAACAATGGTCATTTGAGTATCTCAAGAAAAGGTTACTTTCAGGTTGTTGTTTCTTTTCTGCTATGTTGAGAGGATACATTATCTATAAAGGAAAATAGATTTATCTGACAAAGTCTGATACAACTTAAAACAAAATTAATCTGACACGTTTAATAATAATTAGGAAGAGAATTCTCTCCAAAAGTATGCCATGTCCACTTATCCCAAAATAGAACCATTTTTGATTAGATATGGCTTAGAATTTTTTTGTGTTTATGCTTCCTTCCAATCATATAGACAATAGGGATATGATTGTATACAATCGAGGCATTGAAACCAGGCATAATTAGCCTCTTTCTAGCTTCTAACCTGCCCATTTCTCAAAATTAATTGTGATGCGGATGGGAAGTCATTATAGGCTGGGAACATGGGAGTTTGGGCATATCTTCTTGGAACCAATTTGGACCAGGTACCTGTTTTTGCCATCTAGAAAGAGCACTGGAGGAAAAGGAAATCAGATTGAAATCACTGCTGTCATCTACATACCCAAGATTATTTTGAGTGGGGAGGACTCATCAAATGTCAGGGCTGAATGGGACCTCAGAGGCTCCTTATATCAAAATTACCATTTTGCAGTTGAGGAAATGGAACAAGAAGTAGGGTGAAATAGGGTGAACACTGCTAGTTAGTGGAAGGCCTCGTCCCTGAGTCTTCTAGTGTCCAGAAATGTCACTGCGGGATGTTGGCTGGGACACAGGCTACAGACTAGTAGCTGTCACCCTAATAATCCAAAGAGTGAAGTTCATAGTAAACACACCACGAAAACTAAGCCAGTTAGTTAGGGAACTGATGGTCAGAGTAAGGGTAAGAAAGAACCACTGGGACTAGGTCCTGGGCAGTAGGGTATCTTCTTTCAGCTGAATGCTTATCCTCACCTGAGCCATCTGGTCCTGTGTGTATAATCCAAAGAGTGAAGTTCATAGTAAACACACCACGAAAACTAAGCCAGTTAGTTAGGGAACTGATGGTCAGAGTAAGGGTAAGAAAGAACCACTGGGACTAGGTCCTGGGCAGTAGGGTATCTTCTTTCAGCTGAATGCTTATCCTCACCTGAGCCATCTGGTCCTGTGTGTATCTTAGAGCTCATCTCTTCAGCTAGACCATGGCAGCATGGATCTCTTTTTGATGATCCTGAGCAGTAGCTCTAATTTGCAGCCAGACCTTCCCGGGGTCTCCACATTTACAAGTTCAAAGCAAAAGAGCAGACTTACTGAATAACCCAGGTAACCCTGGCAACAAAGAGGCCATGGGAAAACAGTCTATGCTGGAATTATGCATGGTACTGCTGTCATGGCCAGGCCTGCCTGACCTTCTCCCATAGCAGGTGGGTAGCGGGCAGGAACATTCTCCTGCCAAATGTCCTTGGATTCCTTTGGTTGTGGGTAAAGGCTCAGGCCACAGACCATGATCTCATATGGAAACAAGAAGCAGAGCTGTAACGTGTTTCTCCTTTTGGCAGAGAGGTGTCTTCCCCTCAGGTGCCTACACCCTCCCTGGAACCATTCGCTCGGGTTAGCATGCGTCTCCTGGGAGGAATGAGCAGTGTGGGTCCTGGGATTCCTAGCTGAGAATCAGTTTAATCACCCTGTTGTCTTAATACTTTTTACTGCTCATTCACTTGCCTGACAAATATTTTTCAAATGCTTGTGTATTCCAAGCCCTGGGGATATCCAGAGGTGAGCCAGAACTAACATTGTTCCTACTCTCAAGGAACTTCTAGTCTGGCAAGAAAAAGGGATCGCTGACTTGTAATGAGGGGTTTGGCAAGGGGAGGCAATGTCAAACATGAGACCTTCAGGAAGATGATGGGGCAGGACTGGGGGGCCCCTGCTGGGTGGGGTAACCTGGTAGCCAGATGGCACCTGCTCCTGGGAACAATGGAGAAGAGGACAGTGCCAAATTTGTCAGCCCCACTCAGTGTCCTGCTCCCCCTCCCCCAACCATTCCGTGGTAACAAAGGGAAGCAAGCTGGTTTTCTGGTCCAGGGCAGCCCCCTCTTCCATCACTGATTCTAGCCTTCTGCGTCCTCTGCTCCACTCCTCCTCCTAGCTCCCCTCCCACCCGAGATGGTCTCCATTTTACACCTTTTTTTTGTTTAATTTTTATTTATTTATGATAGTCACACACACACACACACACACACACACACAGAGAGAGACATAGGCAGAGGGAGAGGAAGAAGCAGGCTCCATGCACCGGGAGCCCGACGTGGGATTCGATCCCGGGTCTCCAGGATCGCGCCCTGGGCCAAAGGCAGGCGCCAAACCACTGCGCCACCCAGGGATCCCCATTTTACACCTTTCTAGCTCACCTGCTTGTGTGGACAGGTGAGGCTGTGAAATGAAAACAGAAGCAAAAAGAACTCTAAGAGACAGAAAAGTTGGTTGTTACCCTGAGAAAAGCTGCTGACTCCCTGGTCCTTAACACCCAGTCACACACCTCTAAGTCTGTGGCCTACATCAGTACACCCCTTCCCTTCCCTCCACCCCACCCCCAGCTTCTGCCATTTCCCAGGGTCTTGTTCTCATGCACCCCTTTACCTCCCAGGCTCCTTCCTGTTCCCCTGGGTCAGGTTCAGATACATTCTAAGTCAGCTCCTCCTCCTTTGAATGATCTTGGAAACCACACAACCAAGGAACGCTGACTGTGGTAGATTTACCGAGACTATGAGGGGTTAAGATTGGGGCTTACATTGAAGTAACCCAACAGCTGCCATCCAAACTGGAACCTTCACTGTTGTTAATATGCCCTTAGGTCCTCCTAGCTCTGGGGAGTCATTTGACTCTTTTTGCTCCTCCTAGATCACCCCATTCAGCTGGCCTGGCCTCTGTCCCTTTCCTTCAGTCCTCTGTCCCCTTCCTCAAGCACAACAACAAATCCCACCAATGGCCACCCCATACTAGCCCCGAGCCGACTTAGCCAGCTGTTCTTCAAAGGACAGCCCTCTTCTCTGGAAGAAGGATGCTAGTACCAGCTATTGTGAAGATCATCTTTTTCACTTAGTTACATATTATGATGAAACATGAAGAAAGCTAGGAGTGCTTTATAAATAAGGTACCGGTATCAGATCATTGCTGGCTGGCAGAAGGTGCCTGCACCTGCGTTCTCTCTCACACTTCCTGTCTCTGTGCAGGGCACATGTTTGCCAAGGGTAATGGGCAGGCATGGGATGCACCACTGATCTTGAGACGTCCTTGCAGCCTTGGTCCCCACTCATGTGACCTCCTCCAATGCCAGCTGCCCCTCACAATCCCGGGGGGAGGGTGAGAACTGTCTTCAACTCACTTACTCTAGGTGACCGGTAACTGTAAGGATTAGCCTTGCTAGGATGGAGGGATTTGCTGTTGCAAGTTGCTGAAAAGAGAGAATTGCAGAACACACCAGGTGGCACCACAGATGAACTGGTTAGGCCTAAAAGAAGATTTATATTTCTTCATCTTCCTCGGAAAGTTTCCCCCTTTTTTTTTGGCAAGGAGAGCAATGATGAGGGGGACTGCACACAATGCTTTCACACTGACCGTGTTTAAGTAGTACCCAGGTGAATAAAGGTCTAAGAGTTAAATAGGAGATTAAATTCTTTAAATGCTAGCCATCTAGATATGATCAGAGGCGGGTGGAAGTTTTTGTTTGTTCTTTAATTTCTGTTTTTAATGACCAAGGCATAGATCAGAAAGACAGAAAAGGTGAAAGATCCTACCTACCTCTCTCCTTGGCGTCCCTCCTCCAATCCCCCTTGTAGAGGCACCACTTTTAATAGCTTGGCACAAATCCTTCTGGGCCTCTTTCTATGAATATACAATATTATGATTTTTTTTTAACCAAAGTGGGATGAGGCTATACATATTAATCAGCAAATTGCCGTTGTTTCCACCCACAGAGTGGTATGTCATGAACATCTCTTTGGTTCAGCTGGATCATTATTTGTAACAGCTGCAGAGTATCCTTTTGTATGACTCCCATCATCATATAGTCGTTAAATCTCCTACTGATTAGTTTCCCCATTAGAAACAATGCCACCGTAAGCCTGCTGTGCCCGTGTCTGTGTGCACACGCGTGCAGACGGGCGGACGCTGAGGTCGCAGGAGTGGGGCTGGTCCGTCGATGGTGGTGGTGGTGCATCTCGGCGGCTGGTAGCCAGGGCGCCAGGTGGCCTTGCAACAGGGTGGGAAGGACTTTGACCAGCCAGCCCCCGTGGGAGGAAAGGGCTCTCACACTGTTCCCCAAGAGCGCAGAGGGGCCTGGTGTAGTTCGGGGCGTGAGGTGGGCCCCTGGCTGGGCCTGGTCGGGCACCCACCTGCCGGGCAGAGAGAAGGGCGGCGCTGGGACCCGGCCCGGCAGGTGCGCCCTTGCGCGGGAGGCAGATGCCGAGGTGCACGGCGGGCCCGGGGAGGACACCCGAAGCCTAACGCCTTGTCTCTCCCTCCCCGTGACTAACGAGCAGGACGACAAGTACTGGGCCCGGCGCAGGAAGAACAACATGGCAGCCAAGCGCTCCCGCGACGCCCGGCGGCTGAAGGAGAACCAGATCGCAATCCGGGCGTCCTTCCTGGAGAAGGAGAACTCGGCCCTGCGCCAGGAGGTGGCTGACTTGCGGAAGGAGCTGGGCAAATGCAAGAACATCCTTGCCAAGTACGAGGCCAGGCACGGGCCCCTGTAGGGCGGCGGGTCCTGTGGGCCGGCTCTCAACGGAGGGACCGAGTGTTTCCCGCCCGACAGCACGTGGCCCGGACCAACCTCTCTGCCATCAGCACTTTACCGGAGGCCTCGACCCGGACCGCGCTCTGGGCGCACCTGCCCCGTGCGGCCCGGGCGCACCTGCCCTTGCACCTGCCGCCTCAGGCAGCCCTCTCGTCGTCTCTCAGTTCCGAAAAGGAAAGGTGCCGTGTTTCTACCGGACTGCGGAGGCCCGCACCCCCAGCCCGCGGGGGCCCCGCCGCCCCCTCCCGTCCCCTCCTGCCCCCAGGACGCCTCTGCAGGGCATCACCCCGCGGGGCCCCGGTGGGCTCTCACCTGTCCAGACTACGAGCTCTCGTTTCTGTTTAATCCGTAAGTGACCATGCTGATAAGGTGCACAGAAATCACTTAGCACTACACTGCAGCTCTCGCTCTCTCTCTCTCCTCTCTCTCTCTCTCTCTCTCTCTCTCTCTCTCTCTCTCTCTCGGTTATAGGTTGCTTTCCTCCTATTTTCCGTTTTGGTGATAACTGTCTTCAAATTTAAAGTGCTGTTTAGATTTATTAGATTCCCATATTTACTTACTGCTATCTACTAAGTTTCCTTTTAATTCTACCAACCCCAGATAAGTAAGAGTACTCTTCTAGAACACAGAGTGTGTTTTTGCACCGTCTGTACCTAAAGCAATAATCCTATCGTACGCTAGAGCATGCTGCCTGAGTATTACTAGTGGACATAGGATATGTTCCCTACCTAAGAATTTCACTGTCTTTTAAAACACAAAAATTGCAGTAATGCATTTGAGCATGCCCAGAACATCCCCAGGACAGGGAAGCAGAGGGAAATGCCAGGTGTCAGAACGAGGGGTTAATTTATCAGTGTAGGAGCCAAAATAAATTGCATCTTGGAACAGCTTTTGACATTGATATGTCTGGTTTTGTTTTCTCCCGTCCCTCACCCTCCCACTTTTCTAGATACCTTTTTCCATACCCTCTTGATATTCAAAACAATTACTTAAGATTCAGTTTTCCCCATTTTTTTGGTAATATATATATTTTTTGTGAATTACACCTTGCTGTTTTTAAAAATCAGTTAATTAAGTTAATGAGTTGATGTTTTGTAAGACCCTTTTCCCTAGTGGTGTCTTTTTTGAATGCTTCATAAATTAATGGTTCTGGAGCTTATGTTTCTAATTTTCTGTTTGCTTTTTGAACGTATGTGCTCTTATAAAGTGGACTTCTGAAAAATGAATGTAAAAGACACTGGTGTATCTCAGAAGAGGATGGTGTTGTCACAAACTGTGGTTAATCCAATCAATTTAAATGTTTACTATAGACCAAAAGGAGAGATTATTAAATTGTTTAATGTTTATACAGAGTAATTATAGGAAGTTCTTTTTTGTACAGTATTTTTCAGATATAAATACTGACAATGTATTTTGGAAGACATATATTATATATAGCAAAGAGAAAAGGAAAACTATTCCATGTTTTAAAATTCTATAGCAAAGATATATATTCATCAATGTTGTACAGAGAAGAAGCACTTGGGGGTTTTTGAAGTCTTCAATATTTTAAGCCTATCACTGATACATCAGCATGTTTTTTGCTTTAAATTAAAATTTTATGACAGTATCGAAGCTTGGTGTGACGAATCCTGCTCTAAAATATATAAGGAGCTTTCTTGTTTCCTATTAGGTCTCGGAGAGAAGTCAGTTAACGTCACCCAAAAGCACAAAGTGGATGTTAGTCAAATATTTATTGGATGATACAGTGTTTTTTTAGGAAAAGCATCTGCCACGAAAATGTTCACTTCAAAGTTATGAGTTCCTGGAATGAAATAATCACTGCAAGCACCCCCAGACAATTCTGTTCTCCTCTGTGGGCACGTGCGTCTAATGCAATATAAGGTTGATATTGGTGTTATGTGTATGGCTTATAATTTGATAGATGTTTTGACTTTAAAGATGATTGTTCTTTTGTTTCACAACGTTGTGTAATGTCAAGAGATTCTGCTGTTATTGCAAAGAAACATTTTGTGCTAGATTAAAACACCCTTTCATCAGTGGGATTTTCTACTCTCCTGCCTCCAGAGTATCTAATTATTTAATGACCTGGTGGTTTCCTGGTCAGTCCACCGGCAAAGCTTCTGTTATAGGGTCATAGTCTTGGTAATCCTGACCAGTAGGATATTCCTACTTAGAAATCCCTTTTGTTCCGAGCTACAGATTATGGTGGGAAATGGGAGAGCATTGGAATCAAAATGCATGGTTCAGGTATACGACCAGTAAAATAAATAAAACCTTTGGCCAAGTTCCGAAGCAGAACTGAATAAGTGATATTAAGTAAGAGACACGGGTGGACATGCAAAGTTGGCTTTTTTATAGGTAAAGAGACCAATGGCAGCAGAATTATTAAGTGGCAGTAGTTACTAAAACAAAGACAAGCAGCATCTTTAAGTGGAGAAGTGAGGCACCATGGACCATCCAAGTTCACTACAGGATGAAATGGTAGCTGAAAAACCGAATTTGAGCCCTGGTCTTTCTTGGAATTAGGCTGTTTGTGTCAAATGAGGATCGCAAATGTTCTCTGCAGAAGAAATAAAAAGATTATAATGAAACGTATTCTTCGGTGTGCCAGGAGAGGTTTCAGAAAACCTACCTCGTCTTAAAATGTAAAAACTTTGGAGTCTGTATGCGTGCCTTCTATGTAGGTCATTGTCACCACACACACATGAACACTCATTCCTGGACTCACTGCTTTCTGTCTAGGGCAATTAACTAGTAAATAAGGCAATTCTGCTAAATGGCGTGGGAAGTCATGGCCCGATCTGGAATGACTTGGATCAACCAGGGTCAAATGAGTCCTGCAGACTGCAGCTATTAAAAGTCCTGTTGTCATTTTTCACCTTTTCATCATAAGCATCTTTGGGAGATTAATTACTTGGCCATTAAAAATGAATCCAAATCATATCATGCCAACATCATTTAGACACAATTTGGAATGAGCGGCCTAGGACTTCCTGACAAGGTCACGCTATCGTTTCTGTGGACGAGACTTGCAGAGGAAGGCAACAGCTGATCAGCCTGTCCTGCTGCCCGTGCCACTGGAGGCTGTAGGGAGGGGTGGGAGGGCTGTAAATGATCATATCCTCCTTTTGAGAAAGTGCCCACCTTCTGACCATTCAAAACACCCAATGGGCAAGACTGTGATGGGCCTTTCATCTTCCAATGTGACAGGCCTGTGTGAAGCCATCTCTCAAAGCAGAACAACTGGTTGAGGACAGCACGGATGGGATCTGGCATTGGGTGGGTAGGATTCTATTACTAGATAACCCACAGTTTCCTTCCGACTCACTGGCTTTGTGAGGGAACACACAATAATTCTAAATGTGCATATGGAAGGTCCTCTGATTTTGGAAGAGTCAAAAAGAATTTTAGGTGGAGCCTCTCTCTTTCACCCACCCTGAGTAAAACAACAGGCATTTTGTAACATGCAGTTATGCTTGGTTTTGGGTTTTGTTTTTTGTTTTTGTTTTTGTTTTTTGTAGTTTCTCTAGTTTCCCCCCAATGTTCCTTTTAGGAAAACTCACACTTTAGCAGAATTAACCAGAGCAATCCCAAGGCAGGCTGGCTTGGCCTCTTTGCGGGTGTGGCATGCAGAGGCTGGGATTTAACCCAGGGCCAGCAAGCTGCAGGTGATAGGAAACTATGTGGTAGATTTCTTCTGTTCTCAGGGCGCCAGCTTCCTGCTGAGGGTTCCTGGGCCTCACTGGAGAGGCCATGGTCTCCTCTTAGCTTTCTCTATAATTAATAATGTCATTCTAAAAATGAGCAAAGCCTTATCTTAGATCTTGGTTGAATTGGACTTGCCAACTGAAGTCAGTACATTTTGCAGAGGGCCAGGTGTGGGTAGAGGAGTGCATGCGTGTGTGTGTGTGTGTGTGTGTGTGTGTGTGTGTGTGTGAATATTTAAGTCTAATCGTAACATCTTTAATTCTGGAGCACCTTACCAAACGTAACAATAACCATAACCATTATCCTTTTGGCAACACCACAAAGGTTGCATCTGTTAAACAGGTACAAACTAATGTGAGGTCAGTTTAATTGTACACCAAGATATTGGTGGTGTTTATGCTGTTAAGTCCAAACCTTTATCTGTCTGTTATTCTTAATGCTTAATAAACTTTGAATTTTTTCCTTTCTTTCATGCATTTTTATTGACAGTCTATTAGAAATTAGATTCTGTTCCCAATCCTATCACCAAGAGACCATTTAGAGATTAATTACTTCGATGATAAATAATATTACTATGTAATCAGTGATACATTACTATTTATTGAGTACTTATGTGCTAGACTCTTTGCTAAACACTGACATGGAATATTTTATTTAATCCCATATCAATTCTATGAGGTGGGGTCTATCATTATTCCCATTTTACAGAAGGGAAAAGAGAAGGTGTGGGAGGTTAAGCAATTTGTCTGACATTATGTAGGTAGAGGTGACAGAAATGAATGCTGGCCCATTGGATGGGCATCATTTAGAGCACTGGTTCCCAAAAACCAGTCCAAAGACTGGTTGGATGTATAAGAATAAACCGGGAACATATTCCAGGACTACAGATCCAGTAATTCTGAGTCACTAGAAAGAAAATGAATTGTTTAAAGGCTTCCAGCTAACTCCCATGTGTGGCCAAGTAATTGGAAGCGAAGATTTACAGACTTGACCTTAATTTGAGTTCATGACTCGGGGGAGCCATGCAGAAGCTTCAAAATTACCATAATTACCTGAAATTGTATGCAACTTTTCATATATAAACATATTTATTTTTCTGTAGGGGAGATCCACAGCTTCCCCCTTCCACCCCCCCCCAAGGAATCTGTAATGCAAGATGGAATAAAAACCACATTTACAGATTTATAGAAGGGCAGACGCAGTGCAGTGGTGCCCAGGCCTGGCAGCCCATTAGTCTCACCTGGGAAGCTCCAAACACTGGCACTGCATGGGCTGTAGCCCAGGCCAAGGAACTCAGCATCTTGGGCATGAGAGAAGGGAACTCTGGGGTGAGGATCTCGGTGACTCAAATCTGTCACTTAGCAGGTGTATGACCTTGAGCAGCACTAAGCATTTTTTAACCCAGACCTCCTCATCTGTGAGATGAAGTTATAATTTCTACCTCTGAGGGTTGCGGGGAGAATGACTTCATAAAAAATCGTAAGCCCGCAACAAATACCTGTCATGGGGGCCCAGGGATGGGGAATGTGGGCTAGGAGCAATTTTTCCAATTCACTATCTCAGACCATTTTTTCCTTCAAAGAGGACAGGAAACAATTCTCCTGCTCAGAAGAAGGAGCAGGTGGCTGGAGGTGTGGGAATGAGGGATGCCACATAGATGTGGTTTCGTATTCTGACATCCCTAATAGATCATAGCTTGGAACACAGGTCAGTAGGCATCCACTCCGTGGCATCTTCCCATTTAGATCGAGCAGTTAGGGTTCAGCTCTACTTTCATCACCAAACACCTTTCTCCTCTCTGAGGAGACTGGGAGTAGACACAGATACCTTAAGATTCTCTTTGGGTGACTGGTTTTATATATGGCATCTTCAAATCTCTTAGAGGAGGTGACTGCCTCCCCCATGCCTGGAGAGGCTCTGGCCTCCAAGATGGCAGGAACTGGTAGGAAGCCAAGCTGTGTGGAAGCCCAGTCATTCACAAGCGCTCCGTCCCCAGGGTCCCTTGCCTGCTGCCCATGGGGGATGGCTCTTCCATTCAAACTTAAAATATAACCAACTGCCCAACCATCAAGCCCCCCTCTTCAAAGCATATGAATTAAGTTCCATCTTTGAAAATCACTGGCTTAGAAGTCTCTTTGGGCATCTTTAGCCAGGGACTGGGTGAGAATTATTGAAATCTTGCCTTTGTAGTCAGGAGATAGCTTCTTGCTAATAAATCAAAAGGACCTTTTAGAGAAGAAAGGCCCGAGTGAAGATGGTGGTGAGATTTCTCTGCCTGTCTGGGCTTTGAGTCAGTGAGGACTTGGGACCAAAGGCCCCTCTCTCTGACTTCTTTTCATCCTGCAAACCCTGGCTCAGTGCCAGGAAACAATTGAAAAAACTAACAGTCACTGAATCCTAAACCCTCAACCTGCCACATCTCATTTAATCCTTATGCTACAAAATAGGTAATATTCTTATCCCTGTTTTGCAGATGAAGGATGGGCTCAAGAGAGGAAGTAGGAGAATTTAAGCCCAGGCTGAAAGGCTGATTTGAGAGTTTGTGTTCTACACCACTCCAGTGCACGCTTTCAAGTCCGTGCTCAGCAAAGGTAGACGGCAGTTGTCGTGGTTAGGAGGGTGAGCAGGGGGCAGGTGAGCCTGGACGTGAGTCCCAGATCCGTCACTCACCATCCATCCAACACGGACAGTTCACCAAATCGCTCTGAGTTTTAACTGTAAAATGGGCATCACAGTAGTCTCCTTGTAAGGGTCTTACGTGAACTAAGTGAGAACGTGCATCTAAAACACTTAAATCGATGCTCAGAGTGTGATAGGGATTCAGTATTTCCTTTTTGTAATAATAATAGTAATTGTTAGTAAAAACCGCTGGCGATGTGCTACGACAGAGTCAGACCATATATTATAATTTTAGTGGATGCATTTTCATTCTGCAAATACTTGATTCAAGAGTCACTACTGTGTTTTCAAGACATCCGGGTTCTACATGGATGAGTGAACTGGGGAGGGAGTGGGGCCACTTCATGAAACAAATTGTGTTTCTGAGATGGATTTTATAATCATAAAATTCATGAAGCATCACTAATTTGAAGCCAATTATGCTGCCTTGGATTGGGATTTTGCAGAACTTTTTTTGAATCAGTGTACTGAATGGTGCTAAAATGGTGACACTTGTAGCTTGAGAATGTCCCCTGCTCACACAGGGATGAGAAGTCCTGGTGATTCCCAGGAGCTCTCCTGGTAGCTTCTGTTATCAGGCCTGCCTCGGTCTCCTTGCAAATACCTATGCCTATACTGTATCTATACCTATACCCATATCTATCTTTGTACATACAGCTGCATGCACATACAGTTGGCCCTCAAACAGCACAGTTTGAATTGTGTGGGTCCATGTATATGCAGATTTTTTCAATAAATACAGTACAGTACTGTAAATGTATTTTCTCTTCATTATGATTTTCTTAATATTTTTTCTCTAGCTTACTTTATCATAAGAACACAGTACATAGGGACACCTGGGTGGCTCAGCAGTTGAGCATCTGCCTTTGGCTCAGGGCATGATCCCGGGATCCAGGATTGGGTCCCGCTTTGGGCTCCCTGCAGCGAGCCTGCTTCTCCCTCTGCCTATGTCTCTGCCTCTCTCTCTGTCTCTCATTGAATAAATGAATAAAATATTAAAAAAAAAGAACACAGTACATAATACATCTAACATACGAAATATGTGTTAAATGACTATGTAATCAGTAAAGCTTCCAGTCAAAAGTGGCTATTAGTAGTTTAGATTTTCAAGAGTCAAAAGTCATATGCAGATTTTCAACTGTGTAGAGGGTCAGTATCCCAAACCCCCATGTTTTTTAAGGGTCAACTGTACATATATATAACTATAAATTATATATATTAGATGTTAGATATGCGTATATATTATATACTATAGATATGTTAACTCCTACTAATCAGCCACAGACACAGGCCCAAGTATTGGCTATCCCTGATGAGGGTAAGCAATATGTCAACGGCTTACCAAATCCATTCCTTTTCCTTCCAGACATTCACCCAGACCACTTTTTCCAGCCTCCCTTGCATGTAGTGTGGCCATGCCGCTGAATTCCAGCCACTAGAATATGAGCAGATGTGAGCATGGCTATCACTTCACGATTGGCCCAAAACATTGCCATGTGGTCCCTCTCTCTTCCCTTCCTTCTGGCTCCAGCAGGTGTCCTGAGAAGATAAAGACAAGGAAGGGACCTAGGTCTCTGAGTCAATGAACTATCACATGAAGGAGGAAAAAAACTTTTCTGAATGAAATCTTTGAGAGACTGGAGTTGGCTATTGCAATGTCCCACTTGCCCTGATATGAGGGGCTTCTGAAGTCCAGTGACCTTATCTGATATCTTGACATCTTTGCCACTCCCCAGGCTAGTGAGTGGAGGACAGTTCCTGGTTGGAATCCAGGCTCATTCCCTCTCACATACATGACTTTGAGGTTGGCCTACCTCCTGGACAGACCTCCCACCCTGGTTGGACCATCAGAACATTACTGCCTACATGTTGCCTCCCTGTGTCCTGCATTTGAACACTGTCCAGAGCTGTCCAGCTGCTCTCAGGAGGGCCAGTCTCTATACTGGGTGCAGCCTTCCTAGTCCTCATACCCTCCCCCATCTAGACTCCTCCTGGCCACATAGGCCTTCCTCTATTCCTCACCCCAGATTGTAGATACTCACTTAGAAATGAGGCCTAACATCTCTTTGAGCATGATCTCCCATTTTTTCCCCTCACGTACTCCCTAAAATTATTTTTAAAACATGAACCTGCATTTCATATTATAGAGCTAGCATCCAAAATATGATATCACAGGTTTAAATAGTTGCAAAGGACACAGTAACTGCTCTAAATTTTGGCAATTTAAGGTAAGCCAACATGTTGCTCTTTTTAACGGAGCTGGTGACCCCTACCGATCTAATACCTACCAACACCCATTTGGAAAATGCGGTTGGAATCTGTGCTTTACTTCTTCTTCCCTCAAAATCATTATTTCTGTTGTATTTGTTCAATTTGTTTCTCAGGTAATACGTTTTTGTGTTTGAAAGTCTTGTATTGAGCCTCCATGTTTTTCAGCCAGAAAATCATGTCTATAAACTGAAATTATTATTTTTATTTTCCCAGAACAGAAAGCTCAAAAAGTTTAAATTTTTTTTCTTTACGTATGATTGACGGTTACCTTTATTTCTATTATGTAATTGATAAACCATATCATATATTAACAATTTTGATAATTAGTAATCTTAAAAAGCAAAATTAAAAAAATATTTATTTATTGGAGAGAGAGAAAGCTTGAGAGAAGGGGGAGAGTCACAGAGAGAACCAGACTCCCCGCTGAGCAGGAAGCCCAATGTGGGGCTTGATCCTGGGACTCAGAATCATGACCTGAGCCAAAGGCAGCTGCTTAACCAACTGAGCCACTTAGGCG